TTGTTTTGTTTTTTTCGGAGGTATATCGATTGGCAGCACTTATTTATTACTGATGACGTATTAGTTATTTTTCGACTTGTTGCCGTAAACATATCCGTTAATTTTTCTATCGATAATTCGGATTTATTATCCGATTGTTCGTTTGTTTTCGTAGGACTCGGTGTCGAAACTGTCGTTTCCGGTTGTGGTTTTTCATTTTCTTCCATTAAAATTTCTTCGAGAGGAGCTATTTTAAAAAAAAAAACGGAAACGGAAACCGTTAAATAATTATAAATCCTACAGAAAAAAAAATAGGAAAAAAATATTTACCGGATGGTTTTTCTCTTTTAACGCAATCGGCCGAATAAATTTTCCTATCGTCTGCTACGATTGATGTGGTGGTGATGGTGCTTCTATATAATCTTCATTTTTAGTATCGATTTTAGGTTCAGGTACGACGCCGGGTGTCGTACATCTCGACGATTCCGGACTTCCTTCCGCCGATATATTTTTTATCGTTATCGGTAACAAAATAGTTTGAGTGTAATTGGGTAGTAACTGATGAGGAAAAGGTTGAGATTCGAAGTCCAGGGGTTTATCCCTCAAATCCAATTGTCTGGAAACGGAAAACAATTCGAAAGGTACTTCTCGTATACCGACGGGACCACGGGTACTTATTATCATTCATTTTATTTTATATATGCGTATATATACATAAATTTTTATTTATTTATTTTTTGGTGTAAAGACTGTTGGCATAATTTTTTTTTTCCTACGCGTTATAAATAAATTTTAATATCATTATCATCATCATCATCATCATTATAAAAAATTATTGTTCATTATTTATTTGTTTTTATGGAAATTAATAAATTATAAATAAATAATAATAATAAAAAATGTTCTATACTATCATCGTCGTCGTCATAATCACAATCATCATCATCATCATTATTATTAAAAATTGATTACGTTTTCCATGAGTCACGTGTCATAATAATTTTCAATTTTTATTGTACTATTATTATTTTTATTATTAATAAAAAAATAATCATAAAGTAATAAAATTATTAATAATTTCAATGTAATATATAAAAATTTACTAAAAAAGAAAAATTCATCATCATCATCATCCTCACCATCATCATTATTATTATTACTATTACTATTATTATTATTATTACTATTATTTAAGAGTACAACAGGCACATAAAAAATTTATTTATTCATGTATATAAATAAACGTGCATATATGTACAATTGTTTTAGTTGAAACAAGTGAGAGAAAAAAGAAAGAGTTGTAAATATCATTATTATGATGAAGGTAAAATTGTTGTTATTAATTATTATTATTATTATTATTATTATTAGTTGTTTATTATTGTATGTTTATTATAATAATTATTTTCTTTTTGTTAAATATATATACAAACATAATAAATTAATTTCAAAATTTGGATAAAATTGTTATAATTCACAACAAATTTTGTTTTTTTTTTTTTAATTGGAACGTTTCAATTGGATAATATAAATAAGTTTTATTAATTATTATTATTAATATTATTAATGTGAATCAACAAGATGGCGTTTAGGCAAAAATATCACGTTTAAAAATTAAAAATAAAAAAAAATTCTTACCTGTAACGAATCCATTCGAAAAAGTAACCGTTTGTCAAGCTGACTCGTTGAAACTAATGACGTCACGGCGTTAAACAACATGTCGTCGGAATCGTGCAATCTGATTGGCTGACGCGTTGAAAACGTTTCAATTTGTTTTGTATTCTGCTTGACGAATAAAAATGGCGGACTTGAAAACAAATTTTAAACGTATTTGATGATATTTTCGATCGTTTTTTTTCGCATTTTCTGCAAAATATAATATAATTTTTTTTTTATTATTATTATCATGTATATTTAAAGAAAAATAATTATTTTACACGAATTATTATTATTATTAATTTCGACGTAAGTTTATTATTATTATTAATAATTTTTGTAAAAAACATTAAGAACAAAACAAAATGTTTTTTTTTTTTTGCTTTAACATCAACATTAATTTAATGAAATTAAATTGTAATTTATTTTTTTGTAATAATTATTTTTCTGGCCTTTTGTAACAATTTAATAATAAATCACATTATATTATATTTATGTAATTTAATAAATAAATTTATTAAATAATTAATGTATAAAAAAAAATAAAAGAACTGTTTACAAAATTTATTTATTTATTTATTAATCCTAACATTTTATTTACAATAATGATAATAATAATAAATTATAATTATCAATTTGTCGAACGTGTAGCAGTAGGAGTACCATAGAATAAAAAATAACGGTTTTTCAAAAAAAAAAAAAAAAGATGGCGGCAATCGTTTTTTCTTTTCTAAATAAACCATACGTTAAACTATATTACATTGCCTTCGATATATTTATAGCACGGCTATCGTTTACTACTACTACTACCACGTTTTCGTTAAAATGGCGGAGGGGAAGCGGGGAGGGATTTTTCATTGTCGCGATGACGAAATGATGACGTCACGTCAAACTGTTTTTATATGTGAATATGTAGGGATGTTTTTCTGTCGGACATAAAAATCTCGTGAATGTATCTCTCCAATTAATCGATTTGTTTCCGACAGGTTCCAACATGTTGTTCCAAATGGCGTTGGCAACTACCAACAAAAAAAAAAAAAATTTTTTAATTTTCAATTGTTGGCAATGATTCGCAAATTCCTCATGCGGCTTATAAAAAAAAAATTCAAGTTCAAGGATCATTTTTGTGGATGAGAGGTAGAAGGAAGACGGAACGCGGGTAGGATAATATTTTTATCGTACCTTGATATACCTGTTTTACAAAAAAAAAAAAATTATGCCTAATGAATTATGATTAAATTATTTTTTGGCGAGTGATAACGATAAAAAAAAAAAGTAAAAAGAATTTTTTTCCAGGAGTAAAACACCGGGCGTAAGTAACGTTACTACCGGCGCACACCTTCAGGTATGAAACCTTGAATTTAAATAACGACTTTTACATTTTAATATTGAGAGAAAAAAAAAATTATAAATACTTCTAGCGTTCCCTTTTTGACTCAAATGATAACAATCTGCAGAAAGGTACGAAACATCGGCAGCATCTTGTCTTATTTTTGGAAAATCTAATTTTAATGCAAATATTTGCGTGACGACGGAAAAATCATTTTTCTTTTTGTATCTTTCATCGTCGGACTGAATACCATAAAAAAAAAAATATTACATTTTATGAGAGGAAAAAAAACAGGTGTGACGTCATTTTTATTATAAAAAACTCACAATTTGTATTTGTACGTTTCTCCATTTATTTTGCATTTCTATGTTTTCCTTATAGGAAATTCTTTTTCTTGATATTCCGAACAAACATGGACATTCTACTAAATGTACCGTGTCACAATATTGTGGCAAAGATTTCAAATCGTGTACAACGTCCAGTCCTAAAATGAAAATTTTTGGTGATTCGTGCTCCTGGTGACCGGTGGTAATGGGTGGGTAATGTCGGAGGTGATGCTGATTGTGATACTAACGATGACGGTGATGCTAATGATGATGGTGATGCAAATTGTGATGGTGATTGTGATGGCAATGGCATTGGTGATGGTGGTCATGGTCACTTGATATTCAACATACTCGGCACAAGAAGAATCGAAACAAGAGTTCTCGGTAAATTATCTCTCAGGTAATCTAACGTCATCATCAATTGTCTTCTATGAGTTTCAGCAGAATTTTTAAATGCGTCCAAACTCAGGTAGCACAAATTAAAACAAAAATCATTCGCGCCTATGAATATGTTAATCAACTGCAAAAAAAACAACAACAACACACAAGTTCTTTTCATCGTTCCAAAAAAAAAACAACAATTCCAGAAAATTCCATCAAACCTTCCAATCATTCTTAAAATCTACTCTCCTATCCAATTTAATTCTTCTAACTAATTCTTTAGCCATAAATAGTAAATCTTCACTCATTGCTGCTGGTTCGGCAACGTTAAATCCGGCAACAGGATGATGACCCAAACCGTCACCCAACGAATAACCGATCAAATTCGGGTTGAATTCTTTTAATATGTTCGGTAACGTTAAAAATTCACGCCAGTTACCTTGCCCCCCTAAAAAAAAAAAAAAAAAAAAAAAAAACAAAAAAAAAACAAAAAAAAAATTACAATAATTAAAATAATAATAATAATACTTGCGGTGGTACCTATGTAAGCGGTGGCTCCTCTATTTTCCATAAAAACTTCCAATAAATTTGTTGCAAAGATACCATTTCCAGCCGTTAAACTATCACCCATAGAACCGATGACGTCAATATCTCCAGGTCTTAATTCGTGTACGGATTTTGGACGTTTTGGAGATCTTCCATTTCTTACGTCACACGGAAACGGAACACTTTCATTTACCAACGGTTGCAATTTCTGTAAAAACAAACACACACACACACACACACACGCAATTTTCTTCGTTCACTTTCCCCTTATTTCCAAAAAAAAAAAAAAACTCACGTGTTGTCTCGCTGCTCTTAACAATCCAGGTCTTGTTCCAGTTCGTCCGATTGTATTAAAAATTACATTTCTAAAAATTTTTAAAAAATTTCTTGCCGCTGTCGATTCCTGTTGATTCGACGTAATTAAACAATCAGCGAATAAAGCGAAAAACAAAAAAATTTTTATCGTAATTTTCATTGTATCGAACGAACACTAAAAACAAACAAACAAACAAACAAATTTCTGTTAAGTTCTCACAGTTAAGGTTATACCGCTTTGAGTACTTTGAGGAGAGGGGTGAGGGGGCATGTGGTGAGGTGTACACCTCGCCTCACCCACTCCCTCCGCCTTCCCCCGCAATCACTTTTACCTGTTAATTGATTTTTATTCGGTGTTGTAAAATGTGTGAAAAAGATAATCGAACGTTGTTTGTTGTTCTTTGTTCGACTATCGCAACAACACAATTAATATAAAACATAATAAATTTTTATTTTTTATATATATATATATATATAGGTACCAATGTCAAGGCGGTACAAACGCAACGACAAACAACAACAACAACAACGACAACCTCAAGATTTTTTCTGTTAGATTAAAAAAAAAAAAAAAATTATGAATTTAATGATTGTTTTTTTGTTGTAATAATACGTCACTTAATAAAAGCAAAAAAAAAAAATGTTTGCTACGTTTTGTTTGTTTGTTGTTGTTGTTGTTAGGATTCCGGTTTTTGAAATTTCCCGATCGGAATAATTTTTTTATAATTACATTGACGTCATTTCAATTAATTAATGTGATAAAGGATTATTAAAATTGTACCTGGGCGTGGAGGAGGGGGACTCATTGATAAGGTTAAACAGTTTGTTTGTTTGTTTGTTTGTTTAAACGTCTCGACTGGAAACGTCTGGAAAGAAATTTTAATTTTAATAAACCGGAAGTTCAAACTATCTTTTATTATTCGATTTCCGTCTGACGCGAAAAAAAATTTTCTTCCTTTTTCTAATTTCTCGATCCATTCCAGTAAAATTCCAGAGAGAGAGAGAGAGAGAGAGAGAAATTAAATACGTCATAGACTCGACAACATAAATATTTATAACTATTAATGATAATAATAATTATTATTATCCTTCAAAGTGCAATATTTATGGCTAATATTTTATATATTTATTATTAAAAAAAAAAAATGTTTGTTGTTTGACGTAAATAAAGTCACGTGACTAAACCTTAAATGAGATGGAGAAGAAGAAAATTATTCTCATCAAAAATGATTTTTGATATCCGAAGCGTGTTGTTGTTTGTATTGAAAAAAAAAATAATAACAATAAAAACGATCGATCGAAATTGTGTCTTAACTTCCGCTTCCGGTTTTTCACGACAACGCGATGAACTTCACAAACGAAAATAGAATGTGAAAAATGTAATCGTTTTATAAAGAAAAAACTCAAAACGAAGAGAAATAATTTCACTTTTTTTTTATTTCCGTATCCTCCCTTTTTTCCCGCCTTTTTTTAAAAATTTAAATTTTTTAAAAAATGTCTGTCGATTGTAAAAATCAATAAAAATTTATTTGAAAAAAAAAACAAAAATAATAATGGATGTCGTTTTCGTCTGTATATAAAACATAAATTATAAAGTTCGTGTCACGATCTCGTCGTGTCACTATCGTTACCATATAGAATATTAAAAACCGACGGGTTTTCGTTTTCACGGGTTTTTCTTTTTCAAGAAAATTTCTGGACTTTATTCTCGTTGTGGAAAATTTTTATTCGTAATAGAAAAACTAGATTTGGAATTCGTTTGAATTCTGGGAAAATTTTTTTTTGTTTTCCAGGGGTTCGTGGAAGAAAATAAATAAAAAAAATTTTTTTAAACAATTTTTTTTTAATTAATACCAACAGCAAAAAAAAAAAATTTTCCTCGCAACAAAATCCAGAAATAATTTTTCCCTTTGCCAAAAAAAAAAATGGCAAACGTGCAAAATTTTTTGTTTTGTTTTGTTTTTTTCGGAGGTATATCGATTGGCAGCACTTATTTATTACTAATGACGTATTAGTTATTTTTTCGACTTGTTGCCGTAAACATATCCGTTAATTTTTCTATCGATAATTCGGATTTATTATCCGATTGTTCGTTTGTTTTCGTAGGACTCGGTGTCGAAACTGTCGTTTCCGGTTGTGGTTTTTCATTTTCTTCCATTAAAATTTCTTCGAGAGGAGCTATTTTTTAAAAAAAACGGAAACGGAAACCGTTAAATAATTATAAATCCTACAGAAAAAAAAATAGGAAAAAAATATTTACCGGATGGTTTTTCTCTTTTAACGCAATCAGCCGAATAAATTTTCCTATCGTCTGCTACGATTCCATCAGATCTACCAACAACATCAGCAGATAAAATCCTCGGAAATATAATCTGGGGTGGTGATGGTGCTTCTATGTAATCTTCATTTTTAGTATCGATTTTAGGTTCAGGTACGACGTCGGGTGTCGTACATCTCGACGATTCCGGACTTCCTTCCGCCGATATATTTTTTATCGTTATCGGTAACAAAATAGTTTGAGTGTAATTGGGTAGTAACTGATGAGGAAAAGGTTGAGATTCGAAATCCAGGGGTTTGTCCCTCAAATCCAATTGTCTGGAAACGGAAAACAATTCGAAAGGTACTTCTCGTATACCGACGGGACCACCGGGAGCATACGTGTGATGACCGAATTGATAAATCGAACTGTTTCCCGATATTCCCGTTATTTCCATCATACCGATTTGATTTGTTCTCACGTGATATGGAAAATTTTTATTTGCTTTCGACGGAAGTGTGAGTACTAAAAATAACAAATGTCCACCAAAAGCAATTATGTGAAATGCTCCGCATACGACGCTTTCCCTAACCCATTTATCAATTTGACTATTTGCTGCTAAAACAACGCAAGGACCGGCGACAAACCTGAAATTTTCCAGAAAATTACTATAAAATTCCAGGATGATCCGCTTTTTCTTTCACTTACCAAAGAGTTCCTATTATATTAAAGGGATAATAAAAAGAAACTTTTTCTGGATAATGTTTTAATGTGAATACTGTCGAATGTAAAAATATCCACCATGCTATTATACGTAAAGCTATGACACCATAACCTGGAGCGCTGTCGTAAAGATACAAAACTTCTCCAGGATCGAAATACTATCGTAAAAAAAAATTTTTCTCTTTTTAAATAAAATTGTTTAAATTGCAACATTCGAACAATAATATAAAAATTTTTTTACTTCTCTTTCGTAAATGAACAAACAACAAAAACAAACAACGTAAAGGCACATAAATACTGTGAGTTTAACGCTTGAACCCAAACGAAGACGACCTCTTGTTATAGTGTAACCTTTTGCCAATAGCAAAAGTAATAAAAGAAAACATATTTCTGATATCGCTTCGCAAAATTGTCCTGGAAAATCAAAAGAAAATTTTATGAAGAAATTTAAAAAAAAAAAACAAACAAAAAAAAGTTTATTAACCGAATGTTTTCATTTTTGGATGACCGACACCATCCAGCGCGTATTTCACATAAGCTATGCATTGGGTCATGACCCCAAATTCTTCTACTGCCACTGATGCTATAAATAATTTGTACGTCGTGTGAAAAAATTGTCGTGCTTTAAGTTCGACGCTGCACATAATTATCGAAAGTATCATTAACATGTAAATTATTGCAAACGTCATCAGAATGGGTAAAACGTCTGGAAAAAACAAAACTCCTGGAATGTTTTTCCAGATTATGCGAAAGAGAAAAATTAAAAACTTACAAAATTCGTCTGCTGATAAATGTTCGTGCCAATATTCTCCAGGTGGTGCATTTGTCATTAAAAATTTATATTTAACATTTAAACCCTATAAATGAAAAAAAAAAAAAAAACCGGATTTATAAAAAATTTCCGTTAATCTACCGGAAATGAAAATAAAAATTTTCATTTAATCGATTAATAAATTTTTTTTGAAGCATTTAATAATAATAATAACGAATTTGAATTATAATTTGACCGTTACGAAAGAGAAAAATTTCAAAAAAAAAGAAATATGGCGTCGAGGAGGTGGTCAATGGGGCGGGGGAAAAAAAACCCGGGAAATTTTTAATATTAAACGACGATCAATTCGTATTTTAGCTTTTACAAATGACAAAATATTTAAATAAAGAATTTAAAAAAACAAAAATGGCGGAGATGATGAAATTTTAACGAATTTTTATTATTAATTTAAATATTTTTCTCTCGCGAAATTCGAATCAAACGTTTTTTAGTTTGGAGAAGCGATGATGAGGATGTGATTATATGACGTCACAAATCGTCACAAACGTCGCAACGTCATGTGACGTCACGTGCGCGTTCAGAAATTTTCTTATTCGCGAAGACGAATCGCGTAAACGATTATGACAAAACATTAAATGGAATTTTTTTTTAATTGACGAATTCGACATTTTCTTTTTTTTTTCTGTCCTAAATTTTCCAGGTACGATTGTTTAAATTTGAAAAAAAGTCTCGCATTTCCTCTCCCGATAGATTTTCTAACCGTAAAATAATTTAAAACTTTTAAAAACATTCAAAAAAAGGAAAAAAATGAACGAGTGAAACGTTTTCCATTCCGGAACGAATTTAAAATTTAAATTTGAAAAAAAAACGCGGGAAAATTTTACTTCCTTTCCCTTTCTCACATCGTTTCCTAATAGTGATTCGATTGCATGTAAATTTAACCTTAATTTAACAAGTCGTTGACCTAAAAATTTTTTTTTTTTTTTTATGGAAACGTTCGAACGAACGGTTTAAAAAACTTACTTTTGTAGAATTACAATTACTAAATGCAATAAACCACCATCTTTCTCTTGATGATTTAAATCTTTTTGCATTATTACAATAAATCATTCCTGTATTTTTTCTAGATGATGATCGTCCATTTTCTTTATTACAACCGTTATCGAATAAACCTTTCGTTGTTAAATTAACAATTTGATTTTGTTCTTTTTTTAACGGTTTTTCTTTTTGCCAACACGTCTGAAAAATAATATTATAGTATCACAAATATATTTTTTTTAAAATTAGGATTCTGTTTTTTTTTTTTTTTGTACCTTGTTCGTTTTGTACACGGACGGCCATTGTGATTCCGAATCGTAATATAATAATAAATTAATCGTTCCAAAATAATCTTGATCGTATTCTATGCTATATTCGAACAAACCGACATCAGATAGAAAACAAAATCTCGATACGAACGCCCAATTCTACAATAAAAAATTTATTATTATTATTATTATTATTTTTTTTTATATTTGGGGGTTTTAAAAAGGTTTTTATATTAAAAGTTACCTCGTGGGTTACTAAATGTCCTTGAACGTATTTTCCATAAATTTGCGTCCCGTATAAATTAATAACGAACGCCGTTAAGGCATAAAAAATCAACTTTATTTTTTTTTTTATCATGTGGCATTATTATTATTACTATCACATTAACACAAAATAATTAAAAATTTTCATACACACACACACACACACGACAAAACGAACGTTATTTTTTTTTTTTTTACTTATTTACGAACGCGTATTTTTTCCCTCCTTTCCGTTCGTTTAAACCTTTTCTTTTAATATGATTTAACAAAAATATTTCCTTTTTTTTTCTCTCTCTCTCTCTCTCTATTTGAGTAATCAATTACTTACCGGGGGTCGTCTTGGAAACAATATTAAACACGTTCAAAACAAAAATTGCATGAAACTACGAACGTAATAACTAAATACGAACGTCTCATTATGCATAATTTCTGTTTAACGGTCATTTTCGAAATTTTAAAATCGAAACGGGGGGAAAAAAAAAACAAAAAAAACAAAAAAAAATTCGAATCGTCTCCCTACGTATGGAAAATTGTTTTTTAATTTTGCACCCATCCCCCCCCTCCCTCCCTCCCTTCCCCCTGCTTTTTATTTAAATAAATTTTTTCCAATATGTTCACGTATGACTTTTTGCGAAGACTTGGACAATTTCGAAAACCAGAACAACAAACGGATCGTAAGGGGGAGAGAAAAAAACAAGAAAAAATTATTATTATTATTATTATTATTATTACTATTATTTCTATTATTATTTAATTAAAAATTATATTTTAAAAATAATTCATTATAAAAAAAATATATTTATATATATATATAAAAAAAATTCATATTAAAAAATATTATTCGTCATACACCTATATAATCAACACTTATCACTAATTATAAAAAAAAAAAAGTTTGATTTATTATTATTATTATTATTATTATTATCGATTTAACGATGATTATTCTAATTGAGACCATACAAACGAACAAACAAGCAAACAAACAAACAAACAAACATTCATACAATTACCACGAATTCCGTCATCACGCGCGCGAAAATAATAATTGATGATTGTTTTTTATATTTCCATCTCTCTCTCTCTCTCTCTCTCTCTCTCTCTCTCTCTCTGTCTCTTTCGTCTTTATAGCGCTATAATAATTATAGAACCTTTTTTTTGTAGTAAAAAAAAAATCGATGAAATTCACATTAAAAAACTATTTAAATAAATAAATGAAAAATTTTGTAATGATTATAAAAAATAATAATGATAATATAATGATTTCAAGTCTCACTCTTAAGGCTATTATTATTATTATTATTATTATTATTCGTAATTGGCATATATTTTATTATTATTATTATTATCATTTCGGTCGTTTGACGACGTTTGTTGTTATCCAGTCTTTCTAAATTTTTGTTTTTGCAATAATGACGTCATCATCATGGACGTCGTGTCGTATAGGATGAAATTTTAAACGGCCGCTTCTTTTTTACCATCCGGCGTAACGGTCGTCTCGTATTCTTCTCCACCGACTTTTTCCGAAAGATTTTCACGACTTGATGAAAATAAATTTTCACGACTTTTTCTCAATTCCCCTCCGATCGATCTCTGAAAGTGTAAACAAACGAAAAAAAAACCGTTAAGAAAAAATAAAAATTTAAAAAAAAATCTGATTGGTTAAATTCTGGACCAATGAGAAAAAAGAGAAAAATGTTTTTTCACCTCTGACGTCATCGTCTTATTCCCCGGATATATAATTTCGGCATATTCCGTTTTATCACCTTCGTCTCTTCTCGTGACGACGTTACCACCCGGGGGTGATCTTGCAATATCTAATTCCGCGTAAACGATTCCCTCAGGTTTGACATCTTCGACTTGAACGTCACCATTTTCAGAAGGTTCCTGTAGAGCGCAGCACGTTCGTATTAAATACACAATGGAAAATTTAAAAAAACCATTTTAAGTTGGCAGCACTGATTTCCGTTTATTACCTTAACGACAACGTCGAAACTCATTGTTCCATTATTATCTTGTTTCTGAGATTCAACGTCGAGGTTTATTTTGACTTTTGATTTATTTTTTCTAAAAGATCCAAAAAGTCCGTTCATTAATTTTTTCGGCTGTTTTTCGCTTGTTAATTTTGACATCGATGATTTATCTGCCGAACCGTGATCAGCACTTTCTGTATCGCTCCTGGAAATTTCACTGAATTCGTAATTGAGACAAATATTTGGATGATTTTATAAAAATTTAAATGATATTCTAAACGGTTTTGTTAAAAAAAAGCAAGTGGAAAATAAAAGAAGGAAAGTGAAAATCAAATTTACCGCCATTTTGTTATCGTTACCGATTAAATATAGAGAAAAAAAAAATACTTACCTTTCATATGTGAAAACCGTTAATTTATCCGAACTGAAACCATCATCATTATTTATGACGTCATCGATATCTTCGTTTGAACGATTAAAATATTTCGAAAATGATAATCGATTTGTTGCTTCCTTTGATTTTTCACGGCCTTTCGACTCGTAGCCTTTTAAATTTTTCCCTTCTAAGCTTCCGCCATTATCGTTTTCACGTGACGTAGTCGGACTGACGTCATCGCTTTCTAACGTATTTCTTTTCGTTTTCGTTTTGAACATATTTTTCAAAGGATTCGGATCTTTTTCCCATTTTCCTTCCCTTTCCCTCCTCTTCCTTGTTTTTTTTTTAACTTCCGGTAAATCGAAGGGTTTTAAAATCCCGTAAAATTGTTTTGCATTTTCCTCGCCTTTCTCGAAATTTGAACTTTGAACTTGAACCTCATCGTCGTCATCGAAAAAAGAAATTTTTTTTATTTTAACAACTTCTTCCGGTTTATCGATATCCGTTTTAAAATCAATCAATAAATTTTCATTTTCGTCTTTTTCGATCGTTTCTTTACTTCCTTTTTCTTCTCCTTCTTCTGAATTATTAATCGACGGTGATTTTTTGTCTTCGAATTCCGAATCCGACGTGTCAGTAGACGTATCATTTTTCAACTTTTCCTTTCCCTTTCCCATCCACGGAAGTCTAATAATAATTTTTTTATAATTTTTCTCGGGGGATTCGAGGGAACCATGAGTAACGAACGTAGAATTTCCGTTATTTTTTTTTAAATTTAACGGAAATGAAAATCTTTTTTTTTTGTCTTGTTTTTCCATCGCAGATTGTTGTTCGTCTTTCGTGTTTTTCTCATCATCTTTTCGACATTTTTCTTCGTCTTTTGAATCGACGAGTGAAAATTTATATTTTTTACCAATTTTTTTCCCTTCCGTTTCCGGATGATAAAACGAATCCAAATCCGTTTCTATCAAGTCGATAAAAGCATCCCCACGTTTTAATTTATTATTATTATTATTATTATTATTATTATTATTATTATTATTATTATTATTATTATTATTATTCCCGTCATTTTTCCCATTTATCCCGGTCAATGTTGCATTTTCGCGAAATGGTTCCATGTAAAAGGGTAAATTTATTTTACCATCTTCGTCGGTTAAAAATTCACCGTCGGAAAACGAATATGAATGTTTTCTAGAAGTTTCCACGAAATTTGTATTCGACCTCAAATCGTCAAATGATTTCCGTTTCGTTTCTTTAAATAAATAATTTACTACCGGAATTTCATATTCCGTTTCGCCTTCTACTTCCGGTTTCTTCCCTTTTCCGATTCCTTCATTTTCCAATTCTTTAATTCTTAATTTTTCTTCCAATAACATTTTAAATTTTTCATCTTGGGAAACGTACATTTTTTGCCCATTTTTATTTTCCACCAACGTGTAATCCTTATAAATCAACGAATTTACTTTAACCGGATTTTTATCGTTGATATCGTTGTCGTGATGTGCAAAACGAAAACGAAGTGGCAGAAGACTAATTAATTAAAACACGTCCGTGATTTATTAGTGTGTTGTTAGTGTAATAAAACAAAAGAAAAAAACCATGCAATCGGAAAAAAAAGAAAAACATGCATTATTAGTGAATGTATAAAGTGTGTGGCGGGGGTGGGGGGTGCGTGCGTGCGTGTGAAAAGAAAAATTTATTATTAAAATTAAATATTTACAAGGAAAAATTATTTTCATATCGTTTTATCCCCTCCTACTCCTCCTAAAAATTACTTTCCCTCCCTCCTACTCCTCCTCCTCCTCCCCATTAATTCGCGCTTAATTAATTTTAATTTAAAAAAATATAAAAAAAAATAAAGCTTTAAAGTGCGCGCATTGTAAAAAAATTGCCATACTCATTTGATTAATTAAATAAACTAATTGAAACTTACGATTCTCCGACGGGCCTTCCAACTCCACCTGTAATTACAATCATTTTTTTAAATTAATTTCTGTTTTTTTTTTTTTTTAAATTCGTTTGCGCGCGTCACGATTATCTAATGACACTTTGTGCGACAATAACGACACATTTATTTTTTTTAAATTTTGGCGGGAAAAATTTCTTAAATTTTTTACGATCACCATATAACACGATGATAAAAAATATTTATGCACCTATATACTTAATAATGTATATATATATTAAAAAAAAAAAAAAAAAAAAAAAGAAAGAATAATCGTTTATAATATTTGTACAGTGAAACATTTAAAATTAGGAACAATTAAATGATGATGATAATAATAATAATAATAATGACAATAATAATAATAATAATAATAATTCCTTTCTCCTTCCACTTTTTTTTTTTTTTTCTTCCTTTACATGAGATCGAAAAATTTAACGAATACAAATCGATGAAAATTTTTTTATTTCGTCAATGATGATAATAATAATTATCATTATTTAACTATAATATCATTATTATTATTATTATTATGTTGTTGTTAACGCGCGTGATTTAAATTTTAAAGTTATTAATTATTAATTATTAATAATAATAATAATTTAATTGCACCGAAATTATAATATACTTTCACCCGTGTGTGATTAATAATTATAAATAAGTTATTTGTTATTTGGAATGTGTTTTTATCCGTTTTATTTATTTATTTATCATTATTATTAATCAGTCTTTTTTTTCATGTGTTTTCCACGATGATGATGATGATGATGATGTTAATAATAATAATAATAATAATAATAATAAAACGAAAAACGGAAGCGTGGGCTTTTTATCAAGAGAGAGAAAAATAAGTAAAACAACTGTTTAAAAATTAATAATAATAATAATTAAAATTATATTATAAATTATTTTCTTATCATTATTATTATTATCATTATTATTATACATCTTCGTGAAAATTCATGTGGAAAAAAATCGATTAAATCGATTGACGAACGTTCAAAACAAACGAAAAAGAATTGTAATGTAATTTGTTGTCATTACGATTTTCCTTTTTTTTTCATCATCAATCGTGCCTTTGTATAATAATAATAATAATAATAATAATAATAATAATAATAATAATTATAAATAATCGATCGATATATATATATATATATATATGAGTAAAAATTATTTCCCCTCCCCTCCCCTCCCCCCTTGGTTTTTTAATTCGAATTCGAAAACGACATTTTCTTTTTTTACATATACATATGAATACATGTAAATTTTAAAAAAATATAAGAAAACAATTTTAACTCATGTAAATTATATCGAAACGATGTTTCTTTTTATATTTATATATATATATATATTTCCCGATATTTTTTTTTTTGTATTAGGCAGTGTTTGCGGGTTAAAAATCAATATTGACTAAATGAATGAATTAATAATAATAATAATAATAATAATAATAATAAAGAAAAAACCGGAAACGGAAAAAATCGCTCTCGCGCGTAACGCATTATTTTAAAAATCGATTTATCGAAATTTATTCTAACGAAACACTTCCGCTTTTCGTCATTTTTTAAAAATAAACGAATCGTATATATATATAAACCACGTCGTAGCAATTAGTATTATTAATTATTATTATTATTATTTTAAATAATTTATTTATTTATTTAATAATATCATTTAATAATATCAATATCTTATTTTCAATCCTTTAAATTTTCTCCCCTTTTTTTTTTTTTAATATTATCTTAATGAATAGTATTAATAATAATAATAATAATAATATTATTATTAATAATAATGAATAATAATAATAATAATAATGAATAATGAATAATAATAATAATAATAATAATAATAATAATAATAAAAATCACAGCGAGTCCGTTAAATTAAAATGAATTTAAGTTAAAATCATTTTCCCTATATTTTTTTTATTAATTATTTATCATTATTATTATTATTACTAATAAATATTATTATTAATTATCATTATTATTATTATTATTATTATTATTAATTAATAATCTCAATCGCGCTAAATCAAATCAATAACTAAAATATATCTAAAACGTGTCTAACAACCTAATTAAATCGACTAAAAATCTACGAAAGAAAAAAAAAAAAAAATTTTAAATATTATCATTATTATCATTATTATCATTATTATTATTATTATTATTATTATTATTACCATTACTATTATCATTATCATTATCATTATTATTATGTAATAAGAGATTCAAAAAATAAAATAAAATAAAAAATTTAAAATTTAAAAAAATTTCCGCGGTATCATTTGAGGAAATTTAAATTTCACTATCGATAATAATAATAATTAATAATTAATAATTAATAATAATAATAATAATAATATATCGTTATCAATATATCTTATCATCATTATGTACATATGTATACATATAAATATAACGGTTTTTTTTTTTTCTTTTCTTTTCTCATTCGAGGTACGCGGAGAAAGAAAGAGAGAGAGAGAGAGAGAGAGATGTTTGTTTTTCCTCAATCGTAAAAGGCACAAAAAGATGGTTTTGTTTGTTTTTGTTTTGTTTTTTAAATCGTGGCAGAAGAAAAAAAATTTTTGTTTTTTTCCCCCGATAAAAATCCACGATTTAAAAAATATTAATTTATTATTATTATTATTATTATTATTATTTCCACGTCCCCGAAAAAATTATTTAAAAAAAAAAAAAAAAAACCGCGCTCTCTTATCATTATTATTATTATTATTATTATTATTTAATTTTTAATCCGTGATAATAATAAATAATATTAATTAACGTTTTAAACGGGAGTATTGATTTTATCTGTGATTTTTTTCCCATCGTTTCCGTTTATGTACTCTGTGCTCGAATAAACGCCATCTTTTCCCTGGATAGATGGGGGACGTTTTTCTTCGTTTTCATCTTCAATAGCAACTTCCGATGAACTTTTCTTCCCATTTGTTCCCGCTGAAACAGATTTAAGAAACTGTCTCGGTTATACTTTTTTTTTTTTCTTTCGCTTTTTTTTTTTTTTTTTTTTTAATAAAAAATTCTCATCTCTAAATATTTACTACAACTTAAAAAAATAAAAAATAAATAAAAATAATAATAATAATTAAAGAAAAGAGAGAGAAAGAGAGTGAGAGCCAGAGAGAGAGAGAGAGAAAACAAATTTTTACTGAAATTTCTATCTACTCGAAAAATTACATTAAATAATAATAATAATAACTAAGTGATAAATTTTCTATCGTTACGGTGCGTTTAATTTTTAATCGGGATTGTTTTGTTTGTTCGTTTGTTTGTTTGTTTCGACAAATGAATAATAATAATAATAATAATAATAATAATAATAATAATAATAATAATAATAATAATAATAATAATAATAATAATACAGTCAAAGAAAAGAAACGAAGGAAAAAAAAATTCAAATTTTTTTTTTTTTTTTTTTTCATGCTAAAAATCGATATTGAAGATTCATAGTCAT